TATTATTTCTATTCATAAGACCTTATAGAAATACATAAGACATTTTAAAAATAGTTTCATCCAAAATGACCTGATTAAAAAGAGGTTTTATATTCATAGAAAATTTATTTAACCAGAAAAATAAGTAGCAAAATTGACAAGAATTTGGTTAATTAGAGTTTTATTTCATACATTTATAAATACATGTTATTCATTAAACATAATTTCTTCTATTGTAGGAAACTCAGTAACTCTTTTCTGGATTCAATGTTAAATAGCTACTATAAAAATATCTTAACCATAATTTGTTAAAAGCATAAAATAGAATAATGGACTTTTTAATCTCTTTTTAGATAATATTTAACTTAAAATCTACCCTCCAAGGAAGGTTAAAGAAACAAACAAATATAAATTTACTACATTAGTGATTAAAATATAAGGCCTTCAAAGGATGTACAGTTATGGAAGACTCAGTTCTTTCCTTGTAAAGTCATGCAAATTGAATTTTGCAGAATATTTGGTATGCAAAATCTGGAAAATGTCAGTATGAATAAGCCCAGTCAATTGTTGATTCAACTTTCTAATGGATTTACTATTGTTTTTTCTCTGTAGATTCTCTTTGTCTATTCTAATATTTACTTCACCGCTATGATAGAGACAAATGGGTTCCCAAGTGCCCAGGGTTTCTAAATTTGCTTTTGAACTAAACTGACAGTTATGCACTCAGTGGAAATAACTTTCAAGAAAAGGTAATGAAAGCTCTTCTCTAAAAATTGGGAAATTACCAGTGTTTACATAATTTAAAATACATTTCTTCTATATGCATTTCTACTTAAAGCTCATAATGGAGTACTTCCTTTTAGTGGTTTTCCAGAATCATTGAATTATATTAGGTTAATTGTTTTTAATTTTAAAGTAGAAATAACATCCTCCCAGGGATAGATAAATCAATAATTTTTAAATTTCTTGAATATTCATTAAAATATGTCACATGAATCAATTGTTCTTTCCCAAGTGTTTTTTAGCAATTTGTTAATACAGATACTAGGTTGTATCCAGTCTGTTTAAGAATGCATATTCTTAATTTCCTCATTTTAATGATGATAAAAAACTTCATGCCTGAAATTTATGTTTTCATTTCAACTTTAAAACCCCTCTCTAGGTCAAACACAAAGAACTACGCTGCATTTTGGAGGGATGGTTTAAGTTCAGAAAGAAGCACTTTCTGAGCAGCATTAATATTTAAAAAGAAAATGAATTCCATAGAATAAAAAGCAATATCAGAGTGTTTTGCAATCAATAAATATAATTATTTTGTAAATTTTATTTCCGATATGTTCATATTTCTGTCTGTGTGTGTATATGTGCATGTACTAAGTCATAATATAAAATGTATTTCTTATTGTGGGTTGTGGTCCAAGTGTTTGAATGTTCCCGGTCTTTTAAAAATGCCTACACATAATAGGTAAGTGAGAAAGGACAGTGTTAGCAGAGAGAAAGAAGCAGCAGCATAGAACAATGTCAAACAAAGAAGAAAAGCATGATATACAGAATGGGCAAAAATATCAAATGAAATAGCAGTAAGTGCCTCTTGTTTAACTGAGATCTTAGACAAAGCCATCAGACTTGACAGAAAAAAAGGTTTCTGGTGTTAGTGAAGCATGCAATGTTACTTGGGTGTTGTATGTAACAGCCAGATTTTTTAAAGAATTGGGACTGATAGGGAAATAATTATGTCATCAGGTGTAAGTGATTTATTCAAAGATTTCCAAATAAAACAGAAAGAAAATGAATAGTATTTAAAGACATGGCATGGTCAAGGAAAAGTGTGCAAAATGGTAGAAAATTGGGTGTATTTGAAAGAGGTGGTTGGATTTGAAAATCTGAAGAACCAAATGATAGATATAAAGGTAGAGTCAAGTCCTGTGTTGCTGAAAGCAAAGGTGGATTTTACTGTTGTGCAGTTACCAGAAATAGACAATGAGCAGAGAAGTGGAAGAAGGCTCAAATCAGAGGAAGCATTGTTAGAAATATATAAATTTCACAGTTTTTAGGGGTCAGAGAGAAATTATATTTTTTAGATTTCAAAGCTGCTATTTGAAAGGTGTTCCAAATAGAGCATTATTAATCATTTGGGTTATATAAAATCAGTCTTCATTATTCTCAACTTCTTTATTTGTGAATTTGACTACTTGCTAAATTCTTTGTAACCCCAAAACCCCTTGGCACTTGTGTGGTCATTTGCAGATACGTGCAGTGTGGCAAAAACTTTGAGATGTTCAATGCACATGTTCCCACCTGAGGTTAAACAAGACAATGCTTTACCCTCTTATTTCAGATCTCATGACGTGAACAAGCATATTTTTGGCAGCCTATTTAGTGGCATGTTTTTTTTCCCATTTTAGTGCTTTTTGTTGGTGATTTCACTGTTTAAAATGGCCCCATCATAGGGCCAAAGTGCTGTCTAGTTTTCCTAAGTGCAAGAAGGCTGCGATGTGTCTTACAGAAAAAAATATGTGTGTTGGACAAGCATGAGTCCTGTTGCCTATGAGTTCAGTGTTAATGAGTCAGCAGCATATTTTATATAAGGTGTGTTTCAACAAAAGCATGAATAAAACAAGGTTATATATTGATTTATTAATGGAAATGTTGCAACCAGCTGCTGTGGAAACCTAACCCAGTATTCACCCTACAAGCAATGGTTCAATGTTTGCTAATTTAGTGTTGACAGTGGCTTTATAGAGCATAAACTAGTGGGATTGACAAAATTTGTGTCTTTTATTGTTCACTGTGATTTGTGAAATGTGATTAAAATAAGCTTAGTACTAAAAAATTAGAATCCTTACGACATCAGGAAGATTCTATTCTTGAGCGTATTGCTTCCGACATATCAGGAGACAGTACATACATTGAAAATAGCACACAAACACCTAAGCAATGTGGCCTCTCCTTGTATAAAAGTCAAGGATGTGAACTAGGGGAAAGGAAGCCAAAAGAACTTTCATAGTTTTTATTACTTTTTATTTCAATAGCTTTTAGGGTACAAGTGGTCTTTTGTTACATAGATGAATTATTTAGTGGTGAATTCTGAGATTTTGGTGCACCCATCATCTGAGTAGTATACATTGTACCTAATGTGTAGTAGTTTTGTATCCCCAGGGCTCCTCCCACTCTTCCCCTTCTGAGTCTCTAAAGTCCACTGTATCACTCTGTATGCCTTTGCATACTCATAGCTTAGCTCCCACTTATAAGTGAGCACATACAGTCTTTGGTTTTCCACTCCTGTGGTACTTCACTTAGAATAATGGTCTCCAGCTCCATCCAAGTTGCTGCCATGCCAATTTCTGCATATAACCAGGCTCTTCACTAATAGTTCCTGATTTTTTTTTTTTTTTGGAGAAAGAAGAGTAGAAGAGAAATTAAACTAGAACTTAAGAAGTAAATGACAACTTCAACTTTATCTGAGAAGGTTCTGAATCCTCAGCACTTATAGAAAGGGGAAAACAACAGGACTAAAACAACAGAACTCAAATTTCAGTTTGAGTTCAATAATTTTTTGAAACATATTTATTTTTATAATGGTTCAAACACTTTAAATCTAACATGAAGGAAACATTTAATATTCTAAAGAATAAGTAGATAATTTTGTATATTTTTGTTATTTAGCACCATTTAGAATTTGAAATTTGAGATACAGGGAAATGGGGACTATTCCCATAGTCCTTGTGTGTAACTACAGAAACTAAGCTGGATAAAATCAAGAATGTTTTCTTGAAAAGTTGATAATTACGTATGAGAAGTGAATGATTTGGAAGAAATAAAGAAGAGGCCTGGGGAAATGTTTAGAGAACACCCTTCTTTAACGCATGTGAGGAGAAAGAGACATAAAGGAAGGGAAATTGGAACTAAATTGTAGCAGGAGAAACAAAATAAAGTGTGACAAAAGTATGGATACCTTAGCCTGATTGAAGTTGTAATAAAACTTATTTTGGTGTGAAATCACCTTTTTTCTTTTCATCAGGCCCCAACAAAGATTATCAGAATCTGTGTAAATCAATAGCACTGCTGAGTAGAAATTCAGGTGCTGAAGTAAATATGGATTCTAGTTAGGGTAGTTTAACTGAAACCCTTTTTCATCTTGTCTGCTGAGACTGAAAATCTTTTAAAAAGTTTTATATCTGCCTTTGATTTAAGATGTTAAGATGCCTCAAAATCACCTCATTTTCATTGTACATTTCTGTGGATTTAAGAGATTAAGGCGAATTAGTTCTGATAACAGGGTGTAACTTGAAAAAGCTTGAAAAAGGATCCCAAGTCAATCCATTATAAGATTTCATCACATTTATCTTTTAATGTTTCCTTTAGAAATGTGTTACAGTAATGAATTTTGTAAAGAAAAATGGGAACAAGTAGGCTGAAACCCTGTATTGATCATTTATTCTATCATAGGAGTATCAGTAAATTAATTTCACTGAATAAAACAAGGTTTTATTATATATTATATTTATATTATAATCAACCCTGTATTGATCATTTATTCTATCATAGGAGTATCAGTAAATTAATTTCACTGAATAAAACAAGGTTTTATAATATATTATATTTATATTATAATCTATAATTATATTATGTATTATACATTATAACATAATTTATAAATTATAATTATATAATATTTATATATTAAAGGTTTTATGGTTGTTTTATGGCCATGTCTTATTAAAAAATGTTTAAATAAATCATAGAAAAGATAAGTAGGCATTGCATTATACCTTTCTAGGCATGACCATACATAGTTATTGTATAGCAATTATTTAGCATATCATACATGAATCTATAAGCCTTTTTGAAAGAGTTTTCAGAAGATTGTCAAATTAAATATTTTTCAATTGTTTACCTGGATATTAATAACCGTAGCTTGTTAAATCATTCTGCATCCAGAAGGTAATTATCCTTCATAGTAATTTTAGATAGGTAGCAATTCCACTGTGACTTTCCCAGAGGTTCTCTATTTCATCTTAATTCAAAATGTCAAAATAGACCGCAATTGATAGAGACAATTCAGAAGTAAATGATGGATAAACATAAATTCTTATTTAAAAATGCTTCAGAAATAATTTGCTATTTGATTTGAACTTTAATTGATAATACTCATGTGGCATCTAAATTATAAGAAAAACTTGGTTTTCTTGTAAACTGAAATATTTTAAAGTGACCTTATAGAAATACATTTAGATTTCATGTCACTAATTTCTTTCTTGGTAGTGATGATGGTGTTGGTATATCCTTTAAATTTTGCCAAAATATTTACATGATTCAATTTACAAACATGAAAGAGACCTTCATTTTTTAACAGTTTGCACTGACCATAAAAGTAATAAGTCATTGACTATCCTTCTTGCCTAGGCTAGTTGCAGAGAAAATGGGCTATCTTGGAGGATAGGACCTACAATTTGGAACCTAGTGGGGAGACAATCTACTCAAGCCATGGTTTTAAAGGCGTAGATATCATCCACAACCACCAATCCTGTCCCGTGGTTGGCCTAGAGTAGTTCCGTCCAGGATAATGGTTTGTCATGAGAGATAAACAGACCAAGGCTCTGAGGGGTGTAAGAGGGGAGATGAATAGAAAAGTCAAGAAGTCAGCCATGAAGACAAATTTTAGTCAGTGGTAATATCTTAGACCCTAAATTTTAACTAAAGCCAAGCTCTGGGGATTCGGGGCATTGAGAAAAATGGCAGGACCTTATACTCAAAACAATTATGTCATTGGGCAGGTTAATAAGACAGAAATTCCAGAAAAGTAAATAACACCAGGATCTGATTATCAGTAACTTTGAAGAGCAGAGTAATGTTTTTATGAAATAAACAGAAACCCAGTTGTAAGAGTTGGACTACAAAGTAAGAGTTAAGAGGGTAAAACTACTGATAGGATTTATTTATTTATTCAACAAATACATATGGGGTACTATTAATTACCAAATCCTGTGTTATAATTCTGAGTCCAAGAGTATTACTTTTTAGATGCTTGAAAGCCTCTTATATGGTGCTGAAATTACTTCTAAAACAGCTGAGCCTGCAGATGGGGTTCCAGGAGAAGTTTTGCACAGGTAAGGGTTGTAGCTAGTTTTGTGTAGGCGGTTTTATACAGGTAGTTACAGTGTTGAGAAAAACTCATGTTCACTGTTGAAGAAGTTTTATAAAATGGACAAAAATACAGCATGTGTCTATGTGTTTCTGTGTGTGGCATTTGTAGTTGTGTAAGTACTATTGCATCTTACACTGAAATTGAAGATACAGAGTTGTGTGTATATATGATGTCTCTAATTTAAATACTCTAACCAGCCAAGCAAAGAATAATTTATTTTATGATCACAATTCAATATAACATATTAGGAAGCATTTTTGATATGATGCATAGAGTTTTAATGTATGACATTAAGCATATTATTTATGATTAAAAGGAATAACTACATGTGAAATACATTATTACCAAAGAAGCTGTAAATCAGTTGGTGACTGCATATTGGCCAAGGATGAGTTTATAGTTTAGAAATAGTAGTTCTAATCTTCATGATAGGGAGACAGAGGTTTGTGTTTTTGGTTATTGGTTATCATTCATTGCTCTTAGTGTTCAGTGTCTTATATACTTAATATAAGGCATTCTATGCTCCCTTGACTTCAGATACTCTTTGGTCATTATGTCTATCTGTGTGTGTGATACAACTTTATAAACACAAAGACACCTAAGAACATCCAGTGATAGTCCCAGGAATAATATTTATTCATTGTGAGGGATTTGCAGTGTTTTCTAGTAATAGGCATAAATGTAGTGTGATAACTATATTAACCTTCAAAAATTATCAATCGCTTTTGTTTGGCAGTGATTAGAACCAAGAAATGATGAATG